CAGGAAACGTGGAATATTAGAAAAAATGAAAATTAAATAATTTTAAAAGTAAAATAACATATACAGTTTAGAGCATAACCGTTGCTAATTTGTGTTTCCCCAGATTGCTTTCCTGCCCTGTAAGAAAATTACTGGAAAAAAGTAGTTGAAGCGGAAAAAAATAGCAAGTTTAGAGTATCGCCGTTGCTAATTTGTGTCTCTTTCTTTCATTTATTCCACTTGTTTCATTCTGTTCTACATTTCTTTTATCTTAATTAATTCTATACCTCACTAAATTATTTTGTTACCACAACCGTCGTACTTACGAGGTCCAATTGTGGTGACGGTAAGAAATGTATGCGACTTAGTGCACCGAAACATTTCTTACCTATTACAAATATTTCTTTAGACTCCTTTCCCATTTTATTATGCGTTTTGTGCTGTGTAACAACGGTACAAAACGCATATTGTCACAGGGTTGTCTGTGTTTGTGTGTGTGTGTGTGTCCGCAATTTTCAACTCGGGAACCTCAAAAGCCAGGAAGCTGAAAATCTAGGGGAACGCTTCCCACCCACGTGTGACCCCGCAGATTTAAATTCAGCATTCCCGTACCCGCGGGTAACTCGTACGGCCCCGTGAAAGTTTTTTACGGGTAAGTTAATATCTCGGGAACCACGGAGTCTAGGAGGCTGAAATTTTAGGTTAATGCCCCATTGATCACCTGCAACCTTGCCCATTCAAATTCAGTCTTCCCTTACCCGCGGGTAGCACGTTCGGCCACGTGAAAGTTTTTCACGGGTAAGTTAACATCTCGGGAACCGCGGAGTCTAGCAGGCTGAAATTTTAGGGTGTTGACCCCCTGCCCACGCTCAACCTTGCCCATTCAGATTCAGCGTTCCCGCGCTCTCGGGTAACACCTGCGGACTAGTGAAAGTTTTTACAGGTAAATTATTATCTTGGGAACCACGGGGTCTAGGAAGCTGAAATTTTAGGGTAATAACTCCCCGCCCACGCTCAGCCTTGCCTATTCAAATCCAGCGTTCCCTCGCTGTTGAGTATCACCTATGGCCTCGTGAGAATTTTGGACGCTAAACTATTTACTCGGGAATGACGGGAGGATATTCATCCTTCAGGGTTTCGAATTCAGTTTTCATGCGCTGGTGCATGAAATTTTTAACTGTTTTCCAATGTTTGA